ATTTCCACTCGCCCCCACGCAATTTTCACTCGCCAATTGTGAGGGGGCAAGTGGAAATTTTGAGCCCTGGTATATAGTACATATACATATAGAGTGCCTGCCACAATACATTTACAATTATCCTCTGCTAACATGAATGGATTAAATGATCCATAGTACAGGGCTACATACAGATCGTTTAATCCATTCATGTTAGCAGAGTATAATTGTAAACGTATTGTCTGCACTGTATGAGCAGTGTGTACTCTATATATACTCTATATGTTGTACATATAGAGTATATACTGATAATACAGTGCAGAGAATACATTTACAAATACACTTTGCAGCACTTCCGGCACTCACTGTGCCGGAGAGAGCAGCGACGAGTCAGCGCTGGTCCAGTGGGAGGAGCTCCAGGTGGGGTCCTAATTTAGCTGGCTCAGAGGTGCCTGCCAGCTAAATTAGAATCCCACCTGGAGCTCCTCCCGCCGGACCAGCGCTGACTCGCCACTGCAGGTTTTTTTTTTTCTTACCTCGCCGAGCGTCGCGTCACTGCTGCTCCGGTGGGCGGCGCTCCAAGCGGGGTCATCTGGCAGTCTCCGGCCACCTAAAAATGCTAGCATCGGTATCGGGACATCCCTAGTCCTAGCTGTTACAGCAAGTGAAAGACAAGGGAATAAGACACATATTTGCTAAGTGAATTACAAATCATGGAAGTAAATTTATTTTTTTACCAGTTCATTGTAAAAATTCTTCTAAAGATATAATCTTTTTACAGGGTTCTTCATCCGACCATTTTATAAAATGATGCTTCAAAAGGCAACAACACTAACTGACATGGAATCTGTGGTATGTATTGATTATCGTAATTCAAGTATTGCGTGTCATGGCATGTAATATTATTGACATAATTATATGGGGGCTTATGTATGAAATGTGGGCTATCTCATGATAACTATCAACCTAGGCTGCTTACATACATTTTCACTGCAACTTTGCAGGTCATTACAAAAGCCTGAAAGACCATTCCCTTGAACAATGCCAAAGTGTAAACACATGGTTAATAAAAAATCGACAGCAACACTGTTGAAGATAGTGGCAAAATTCTGTATGATAACTGAGGTTAAATATCTGACCCCCTTCCTTATCTGTGTCTCCTTTTTCCGTTGTAGTCTTCTTACCCCCTGGCCCAGCAAACCCTTTATACTGCAATATTTTTTATGTCTCTTATTAGCAAGGAATTATCTGGTAGATGCAAATCACACATTGCAGGGCCTTCCAGTGATGAGCTATTTTTTTTATAATTTATGTTCAGACTAGAGATCATGGGGGGGAATTTATCAAAACTGGAGCAAACAAAATCTGGAGCAGTTGCCTATGGCAACCAATCGGCTTCTCTCCAATTTGTTCAGTTAAGGTTTGAAAATGAAAGAGATGCTGATTGGTTGCCATGCACAGCTACTCCAGATTTTGTCTGCTCCAGTTGTGATAAATTCCCTTCATGACGTTTCCAGGTATTCATTTCTCTATTACAAACTTACTTCTACTTCCATTCTACTTCTATTTCTTGTTTTCTGCTGACAATAGAGCTTCTGTTGAATGTTTAACACCTTAATAAAAGGTAATAAAAAGGAAAAGTGTGCTACAAAGGAAATATCTTGTTGCCCATAGCAACCAGTCAGTTTCCAACTCCCATTTTTAGCACAATTGTCATACATAAGCTCCGTTAGCTTTTACATGTAGATAATATGCCTGACCTCAATTGGTAAACAGTCTCAGCAGATTTTTTTTTCCAGTAGTCGGTTTTCTGTGTGGTCCTCCCTTCATGTGCCAGAGTAGCTTGCCATACACACATAGAATGTCTTGCAGGCTGAATGAGAGAAATCCTTTGATCCCCCCCCCCCTCCACTCTAAACAGTGTGAATGAGGGAATCCCCAATGCCATCTACTGTATTACAGCAGCTGCCGAATTGCAGGTTGGTTGGGTGCAGGTGCTGTTCAGTCAGTTGTGCATTTTCTGACCCTCCCCTTTAATAAAAGTCCCTTGAATAATTGACTCTTGTCGAGCAAGGGTAGGGGGTTCCTGCTGAATTGGTTAGAATTGGAGCAGTGTATGGCCAGCTTTAGAGTAACTACAACTAAATAATAACAGTGCAAAGGGAGGCATTGTCTGTTATAATGATGGAATATGGACTTTTATCATTTTATCCTTTCTTTCTTAGAGCTTCAGTCTCAGTTCTACTAACCCAATTTACCAGTATTGGTAAACAGTCATTACAAGAGAGTAGTTGTATAGAAATTTAGATTAGATTAGTTTAAGTTCTTTTCTTTAATGGTAAATGAGACCAGGATATTTCAGGTATTGATTATATTTGCATACATTACCCAATATTTTTAATGTGCAGTATTAAAGGTGGTCTTTGTGCTGCTATAATATCGAACGTATTTCTCCCTCAAACTGTATAAGAGCCATCAACTCTATATAGGCAATTGGCGTCTTGTTGACTGTCAAGTGGAAAAGACAGCACATGCACTTGGCACCTGCTGTTGACTTTCATGATAGTCACATGAACAAGACCATTCCTTAGCAAGAATTTCAGATGAGGACTTTCGACTGCTTGTAGGATAAAATAAAACACAGGAGTTTAAAAAACATTGCTGTTTCATCACAACACACATTCTACGCCACTAGTATTAAATGTGCATGCACAACAGTGTGAATTGATGGTTGAGTTACTTTAAGTCAAAACCTAATTAAGCAGTTAAATACACATTTGAAATGCATACATGCCAAAATATATCTAATTCTGTTCGGCCAGTTTTGTTTTTCACATACGTTTGCCACTCTGCTTAGTGGGAAGGGTGACAGTACATTTTGCAACTTCCTATCTGTGTAACAACTCCTCATACTATACTAACCTCTCTGGTGCTCTATGTATCTTACCCCTCTCCGTTCCAGCGGCATACACTTCCCTGAATGTCAAGATGCCTTTAGTCTCGCTTTTTCCTGCTCGCTGTTGTTACTTCCTTCTGAGGATGGAGCCACAGCTATATGTGACAATCCTGGAAGTGTCAAATGCTGAGGAGATTGGCAGAAACCTCAGCACTGGAGAGGATGGAAATTAGGAGACATGGGCCCTGGAGAGGTGAGTATAATAGCTCTTTTCTTGCATGGAACTTTCAACTTCAGCATGTTTTAGAACCTGACAGTGCTGCTTAAAATTGCCTCAACACCTTTTCTCAGCCCCAGTGCTTGCAAACCTGTGCTGCATAGCGAATCACATTCCCTCTTAGTCTGGTTTCTGATATGCAGTGGTTTTAGGGAAGATAATATACAGATAGTTTTCAGCAAGTGCTAAATATACACCAGTTTCTTTTCTTTTAATACTTGAATGGAATTCCATGTTAACTGTTTGTTGTTACTTCCATAGGACAGCGAGTATCACAATTCTCTCCAGTGGATACTGGAAAATGACCCTACTGAATTAGACCTACGGTTCACTGTGGATGAGGAACTATTTGGACAGGTAATAAAATATCCCACATCTTATTATATCAAATAACATTTGCAGACTGGAATTAATGCATGTATATGTTAATATATGCGGTTCACATTTTATATGATGATTTCAATCTTTTTCTAGACTCATCAACATGAACTAAAGCCTGGTGGATCTGAAATTGTAGTCAGCAACAAGAACAAGAGAGAATATATACAGTGAGTGGCGGAGTAATCAAATTAGCATTCTTGCTTCCTTGAAGGTGCTCTAATGCGGGCCAAACACTCGTCAGTTTAGAGGCATTTTCAGACAGCTTTTACCCTCCCACCAACAGTTTCTGATAACACAATGAACTGATCTAAGAAATTGGTGGAATAGTGCCTTGATCAATCAGTTGTTGCCGCAACTAAAAGAAGGCTAAAATTCTCTAAAAAAAAAAAAATAGCAGTGTGCAGCCAGCATACGTATTTAGATGTAAGCCTGAGATGTGTTTGTTTAATGAATATCTGGGTGCAGAGATTGACTGTAGAGAAGATAACCAGTGTAGAATCACTGTACAGTTTGGTGTGGGATCTAACTATATTTCTCTCAAGGAGAATATTGTTAGTAAAACCACAAATATTACAATCCAATTGTGTAATCTTTGTATAGTCTCCTTCAAATCTATCAAACCTACGTAATCTAAACAATCTTTTTAGTTGTATCCATTGTCCGGCCACCTTACATTACATAGTTGGTGGTTGATCCAAAGAAGATTGGACGATCAGATTGTACAGTGTATGGTCAGCTTTAAAGTCATGCTCTGCAGCACTGATTTAAGTGATCTATGATAGTGTTTGCATATTTCAGTATACATTTTCAGTTCATTTTTTTCACTTTTTTTTATTTTCTTTTGTCAGCCTGGTCATCCAGTGGAGATTTGTGAACAGGGTGCAAAAGCAGATGACTTCCATCAAAGAGGTATTGTTATTAATGTCTGCTTATGTGGTTACAGGGCTCTTCCTCTGCTTGTTTAACCCGCCTCCCGGCCAGCCGTTGTAACAGAACGGCCTGCCGGGAGCTTCCTTGACCTGAGCAGGCATTTTTAAACGCCCCGTCAGCCATGCCCACTAGTATCCACAATATACTAGTATCGGTGCATCCCTAATATGTATGTATATATAAAAATGAGTTAACAAGGCATTCTTTCTCCCTCTTTTTTTCTCTTACTTTTCATGAAACTAGATTCATAAAAAGTTTTCTTTTTTTCCAAAGGGATTTTTTGAACTGATTCCCCAGGATCTCATTAAAATATTTGATGAGAATGAATTGGAGGTATAGTATTTGTCTTATACCTATACTTTTATGATTCCTTTATAAGTGGTTGTTTCCATTATTTACCTATCTGCTTTCTAGCTCCTCATGTGTGGATTGGGAGACGTGGATGTCAACAACTGGAGAGAAAATACAAAGTATAAGAATGGTTACTCTCCTGGACATCAAGTTATGCAGTGGTTTTGGAAGGTACGCATTGTTTTGGTTTATGCTGCATTTTTGTTGTTGTTGTCATTTTTTATCATAGCAGTGCTAACCAGTACAGAGGGCATGATGAAATAATTGATGTTCTGGTGGTCATGCATCTCATAACCTATAAATCTTCATGGAAACAGTCAGTTCTGAAATCATCTTTTTCCTGCAGTTTTCAGCCCCCTGGGACCCAGTAAGAATGTGAATACGTTTTCATTCTGCTGATTTTGGCACAGTGTCAGCAGGTGATGCCAGTAGGTGGCAACATCCAGTTACTGGTCTATACATCTCAGCCACTCTGCAGAGTCTAGGAAAGAACACCCATTGAATGCATTTAGGGACCACTGTGAAGTAGGCCATCACTTAAAGCTTTGTAATGGATTTACATTTTCATATTATTTTCAAAAAAATCTAATTTCACCCAAAAATATATTTCTACTGGCTAGCGTCTTATATCTTTGGAGATTCCAATGACACGATTTTTCTGCTTTTGTTCCTGTTCCTGCTTCTGCTGCATTTGTGTCTAAATCCAACTGCAAAAAACTTACCACCACAGTCCTCAAGATAAAAGAAACCATTTGGTGGTTTAGTTTTCTTAGCATTTTCCGAAAACTGAAATATTGTTTTTTGGTATACTGACTTTTAACGATTAGCTCTCGAAATGATCAGGATAAATTGAGGAGTAAATGCTTTGTTTGAAAAGCCATGACTGATCTATTGTACTGCATCTTCACTGGGTACAGAGTGTTCAAGCAGCGCTCTTTGATCCTTGCAGGATCACTCGGATAAATGTCTGCAGTTAAACATCGTAATCATTTTCAACCAAATATATAACTATTCCCTAGGCGCCTGATGCTATGCAGATGTCTGGATAGAAACCAAAATATTTGTATTATAATAAAAATGATCAGCATAAAAATGTCCCGCTCTTCTTTTCAATATAGGACACAAAGTATGACCTGCTGGGACTCTTTTCCGAGAAATAAACAGAGCTGCAAGAGATCTTCCTAAATATGATATGAATAATACAGACAGACTCATCTTGAAAAGATGCTGTTCTTTTTGTAGAAGGGTTGAGTGTGATTTCCAAACAGAATGAAGGGAAATAAGATATCATTGTAAGAAAAATAAGCGCTTAGCAGGAGTCTGTTTGGAATTGCCCACTGTGTTCTGTTGTTGTTGTTGAGGATTCCATAGGGCTCCTCCATTTGATCTCCTAGAATTTAAATATTGCCAGCCAAGAACAAAGATTCCTGAACCTAAAGATCTAACATGGGTGGAGAACAGGTTAAGGCCAGCTATAAGCCAGTAATGAAAGCCGTGTGATTCTTTTTAGAACACCTATTGTACAAAAGGATTTCTCTTTTTTAAGTTTGATTACGGTAGTTTATTGGGTCCTGGGCTACAAATGATATATTATTATACTTGTGATGGTGTATTTCTTTCATGGAAACTGGTGTTCAATGGTTTATGGGTTTTTTTTGCAGGCAGTGCTAATGATGGATGCTGAGAAGAGAATTCGATTGCTTCAGTTTGTCACTGGTACCTCCAGGGTACCTATGAATGGATTTGCTGAGCTTTACGGTAGGTGTTTTAAATTTAGTGATCAAATGGTGAGATCCTTCAGTGTATTCACCAATGCATGTAAATCAGTATTGTTTTTCATCAATCCATTTTACTTAAAGGTTCTGTGTTTGAGTATATATTTGGCTGAAACACGGAAACTTTTATTATGGGTATATAATAAGTCTTTTTGAAGATGTTATAGCTTATTAGACCACCAATAGGTTAACTTAAGTGGAAGTTATCTGGCTGCAATATGCTCACTTATATTGGGCTTCTAAATACAACACATTTGTGAAGCGGCTGTATACCATTTATGGGACCCTATCTCCGAGCAAACACACTTCCCCCCTTCCCCATGCGGTGGGGCTACCCCACACTGAAAGGGTTAAGTCCTCGTTTATGTCTAGGGAATTCAATAAAGCAGATGTACTTACCTGATTCTCACTTCTCCAACAGGCAGTGCTTACCTCTTCCCCCTTAGCTCTGGTTTTTAGACTGTCCCTTGGCATCTTCACATCTAACGCAGGTCTATGGGCCCTGCATTAGACATAATGATGTACAAGCGCCCGACCACTGTGAGCACTGGTCTTGGTGCCAGTGGACGCGGGGATCAGGTAAGTTGCAGTGCTTTACTCCCCTTGACATAAACAGTTAACCCTTGTAGTGCTGGGGTAGTACCACTTGCAGGGGAAGGTTTTTGGTTTGCCTGAAGATGGACTTTTAGAAAAGCAGTTGTATCAATAAATACAAAGTCCAGCGAGATCTTCTGAATACATGTGAACATGTCAAGTCAGGAAAAGATATAATGTGCAGAGAATACACATAATGTGTTCCCCTATCCAGAGTAACAGTAGCCTCCCTCCTATGCACGGTTACAGGAATTTTCTCATTCAGTAGTATACATCAAGTAGGACCTATATTTATCAACTGCCTCCCTTAGTCATCCATCAGATTCTGCTTTCCAGGGTCCTTTTGTAACAGAAAGGTTGGCTCACTAAAATCTAGTAAATGTAGCCATCACTTGTAAGCCATAAAGAAGCCCGTCCTCCATCCTCCCCTACTCTGACATGCATTGATACCCTGAGAGATTATCCAGTGAGTTCTCTACAACCGTGGACGATGTTACAGTTTGATCATTTAGATTAGTCATGAGAGCTCCACCTGTTTTACTTCATGCTGTTGTAGCAACCGTTTTGCTGGATCTCTTTATCCTACTGCTTGGGCTGAGAGATGTGAAAATCAGCAAACATGACAGGAGACTAATGTGTGGGAGTAGATAAAATTCCTGAGACAATTGTATCCGCTATTCATCATGTATGGAGGAAATTCGTGAGGCTTGTAAAACTGCAAGGAACAGGATGGCACACTTTTTGCAAAAGTAGCACCCACAATATAAAACCACCTAGTCATGGTGTAAACAAAACAGTCTGCCCATAAGTCCCTAACACTTTGAATTTTTTTTTTGTGCTACCAAATCAATATATAATTTATGACCCTGTAATGTTTACTAATATACTGCTGTTTCTGGAATCCCGCCTCCAAAATTGCTGCTCATCCCCCTTCTGCATAATATCATGCCACCCTTAAGGTAAACCTGTACTTTGCCCATGCAGGCCATCACAATAGGTTCATTTTCATTTATCCTCTTTCCAGATGCACATACATACATTTCATATGCAGTCTTACGCTCTACTCAGCCACTGGGAACAAAGAAACCCAGCTTTGTATAAGCATTGAGTCCAGAGTTTTCACGGGGCTCAGGACTCTACTGGTGGGAAAACAAAAGAAAAATGAGTAAATGCTGCTGGGAAGAGAGGCTTTAAAGCAAACCTGTTGTGTTGCCCTGTAACGATAAAAGACAGTTGTGCTTTAAAGTTGACCTGAACTCAAAAAGTGAAGATTTGCTATGTTATAGGGGATACTTAGAAATGTTGATTGTACCTAAGCAGTATCCTGAATAAAGTACCTTTTTGTCTTGAATTCCTCTTGAAAAATAGCAGTGCACTTCCTGGTAAGTGAGCGTACTTGGGCACTCTTGTACCTACAGGCTCCTAGCTGTATATCTGCAGTATGAGATTCAGGGCACTGCTGCCTTTCACTTTTAGTTATAAGAGTTTGAGTGAGCTTTTGTCATGCCAATTCTGTGCTGCTCACTGGAGTTTCTGACATGAAAAGAGAAAGATATGCCTTTACCAAGATGGCTGCTTCTACACAGAGACACAGTACAGAACGAGGCATGGTAAGTCAGTAATGGGGGAAAGTTCAGGTGCAGGGAGACCTCAGACACTACTGGTGACTAGTCCTCTGCCCTCTGTCTGCCGTTTTTTGGATACAGCTTCCAAAGTTCAGTTCAGAATATAATTGTAAATTCATACAGAAAGAGGACAACCATCATTTAGGTCAAAGGGTATTTCAGAGAATACAGGCTCTCTGTGTTATAGGGACTAATGATGTCATGTTGATATGAAACTCTTTGTACCACAATACATGCCAAATTGACATCGGTTCCTAGTGAATAGATAACCTGAACATGGGTCAAACCCACACAGTAGTTGGTTCTACAATGACACTCATTTTAACATTAAAAATATTTAACTCTATCACTGCAAATGCAGTCAATGCAACACTGTTCTTTCGGGGGGAACCTTCCAGTAGAAGTTGGACCATCTTGGTAGTTACTATTGTGGATCAGTTATTGCAAACGTTTGCTATATATACAGTTGTGTGAAAAAGTATTCGAAAATGGATTGTTCCCAAATTATAGAAATCCCTTGTTCGGGGCTGGTTAAGTAAACAGGTAGAAAGATATATAATTTATCAAATTGAATATTTATTCGTAGAAAAAACTTAAACAATACATCCATAACAAATCATTTAAAAACAGTTAAAAAACTTCCCCTCACGCCCCTCTGAGGAAGCCCCTGTTTGGGGAGGAAACGCGTCAGGGTAACGTGTGCTAACAACTTCCCTGGACACTCACCAAAGCTCATCCCGCACATTAGTCGCGGCAGAAGCAGAAGCTGGGCTTCTAAGTGCGGAGACGGAGCGCAGCCGGCTGGGATATCGTCTGAGTCTAGCTGCATCGGATGTTACATCAATCCAGCAGAGATTGAGAGAAAACGACCGGACGACAGTTTGCGCTATTCACACAGCCTGTGGATCCAATACGACATCTGGAAACCTCTCACCGTCGAGACTCCTGCACCTGCTTTTACCTTTCAGCTTTGTTCACTGTGCGGCCGCACACACTTATATGGAAGTGCTTTTGGGATAGCTCTCAAATTTGAAATCCAAGCCCGAGGGCTTGAGAGTCCCAAGCAGGGGAAAAAAAGATGGGCGTTTACATCTTTCAGCCCTATTCACATATCCCTATCTCTGGATCCTAACTACTACTGGATACGCATATTGAAGCAAATTAAATCACTCAGTACTGTGGGACTCGAGCAGGCCTGTCTCTCCCCGAGCTCCCTGAGCTACATGAGCTGTGAGTAACCTGTGATACTTTGTATCCGTATACGAATAACATTGTATGTATCTGCTTTAATCTTTCATGCCACACCAGTTGGTCTGCAGATCACCCATGATTCTTTAACCACTGTTAATCTAAGGGAAGTTTTTTAACTGTTTTTAAATGTTTTGTTATGGATGTATTGTTTAAGTTTTTTCTACGATTAAATATTCAATTTGATAAATTATATATCTTTCTACCTGTTTACTTAACCAGCCCCGAACAAGGGATTTCTATAATTTGGGGACAATCCATTTTCGAATAGTTTTGCTGAAACCCCGGGGATTGGTATACTTTATATTAATATTGTTTAGGCGTAACTCCAAATGTTCCCCTTTTCTTTTCCTGCATTGTGTGAAAAAGTGTTGGCCTCCTTCCTGATTTCATTGTTTTGCATGTTTGTCACACTTTAATGTTTCAGATCATCAAACAAATTTAAATATTAGTCAAAGATAACACAAGTAAACACAACATGCAGTTTTTAAAGGAAGGTTTTTTATTATTAAGGGAAAACAAAATCCAAACCCACATGGCCCTGGGTGAAAAAGTGTTTGCCCCCGCCCCCCCCCCCCCCCT